CCTCACTAGATACTCTCTCTCTCTCTCTCTCTCTCTCTCTCTCTCTCTCTCTCTCTCTCTCTCTCTTTTTATCACTTCCGCACCACTTACTTGTCTTCCGGGTATATATTCCATTACTACCACCGCCTTTCTCATATTTTTCCCGTTTGACGTGTGTAATTCCGGGTTTACGTATTTCTCGTATTATATATTTCTAGTTTTTATGCAGCCAAAACTATCAGTGTATTGAAATGTAAATACACACACACACACACACACACACACACACACACACACACACACACACACACACACACATGAATTACCGAGCTTCCCTAAGATGTGTTCAATTAAATACTCAAAAATTGGGAGAAAAAATAATTGAAAAACAGTTTGTGTAGTTTATCGTGTCATATAAAATCACATTTGGATACTTTATATGTTAAACTAAACACTTTTTTTTCCATGATTTAATTAGATGTCAAAGTTTATGTTGATTAGCTGGAATCAAAACAAAAAACCTAAGCTGTCTTGTACGTGTCCTTGTACTTGTCCTTGTACTTATCCTTGTACTTGTCCTTGTACTTGTCCTTGTACTTATCCTTGTACTTGTACTTGTCCTTGTCCTTGTCCTTGTACTTGTCCTTGTACTTGTCCTTGTACTTGTCCTTGTACTTGTCCTTGTACTTATCCTTGTACTTGTCCTTGTCCTTGTCCTTGTACTTGTCCTTGTACTTGTCCTTGTACTTGTCCTTGTACTTATCCTTGTACTTGTCCTTGTACTTGTCCTTGTCCTTGTCCTTGTACTTGTCCTTGTACTTATCCTTGTACTTATCCTTGTACTTGTCCTTGTCCTTGTACTTGTCCTTGTACTTATCCTTGTACTTATCCTTGTCCTTGTCCTTGTACTTGTCCTTGTACTTATCCTTGTACTTGTCCTTGTACTTATCCTTGTACTTGTCCTTGTACTTGTCCTTGTACTTGTCCTTGTACTTGTCCTTGTACTTATCCTTGTACTTATCCTTGTACTTGTCCTTGTCCTTGTACTTGTCCTTGTACTTATCCTTGTACTTATCCTTGTCCTTGTACTTGTGCTTGTACTTGTCCTTGTACTTGTCCTTGTACTTATCCTTGTGCTTGTCCTTGTACTTGTCCTTGTACTTGTCCTTGTCCTTGTCCTTGTACTTGTCCTTGTACTTGTCCTTGTACCTGTCCTTGTACTTATCCATGTACTTGTCCTTGTACTTGTCCTTGTACTTGTCCTTGTACTTGTATCCTTGTACTTGTCCTTGTGCTTGTGTCCTTGTACTTGTCCTTGTACTTGTCCTTGTCCTTGTACTTGTCCTTGTACTTATCCTTATGCTTATCCTTGTACTTGTCCTTGTGTACTTGTCCTTGTACTTGTCCTTGTACTTGTCCTTGTACTTGTCCTTGTACTTATCCTTGTACTTGTCCTTGTACTTGTCCTTGTGTACTTATCCTTGTACTTGTCCTTGTACTTATCCTTGTACTTGTCCTTGTACTTGTCCTTGTACTTATCCTTGTACTTATCCTTGTACTTGTCCTTGTACTTATCCTTGTACTTGTCCTTGTACTTGTCCTTGTACTTATCCTTGTACTTGTCCTTGTACTTGTCCTTGTACTTGTCCTTGTACTTGTCCTTGTACTTGTCCTTGTACTTGTCCTTGTACTTATCCTTGTACTTGTCCTTGTACTTGTCCTTGTATTTGTCCTTGTACTTGTTTACAATCCAAAAACCTGAGTCACCTTGTACTTGATTATACCCCAAAACACGTGAGTACCTAGTACCTAGTTCTACCCAAAGACCTTGCCCCATGCTGTACCCAAATGCTCCGTTTTACCCCGAGAAAGACCCAGACACTTAAGACTGTTTGTGAAGGCCCTTGACTGCCCTGCCCCAAGTCGTAACCTGAAGATCTTAGTTACCTGGTCAAACAGACTTCGACTACCTTGAATCTAATTAATGACTAAGACCCAGTTATGTAACCACCTCACACCTGGCTATACCTGAGGACCTTGATTAACTTGTTACGTGGTCGGTCTCTCTCTCTCTCTCTCTCTCTCTCTCTCTCTCTCTCAGGGTCGTGTAACTTGGTCGTCTGCCAACTCCTGATGTCTTGTTTATCTTAAGGTACAACGAGATACTGACGGTAATATAGATTAATCAACCACACCTGTGTGTGTGTGTGTGTGTGTGTGTGTGTGTGTGTGTGTGTGTGTGTGTGTGTGTGTGCATGTGTGTGTGTGTGTGTGTGTGTGTGTGTGTGTGTGTGTGTGTGTGTGTGTGTGTGTGTGTGTCTCCTCTCTCTGCATTTCTCACCCGGATTTACATTTATCTCTGGAAATAAATGTCGATCTCAGAGATAAGCCTCGCAGAATTCATCCCCAAACCTCGAGGAGAAATTTCCCATACTGATTTAAGGCGATAGGAAATAATTACACTAGTTTATGAGGAAAACCACACAGAAATCTTTAAATCCATGTGTGTGTGTGTGTGTGTGTGTGTGTGTGTGTGTGTGTGTGTGTGTGTGTGTGTGTGTGTGTGTGTGTGTGTATGTGTGTGTGTGTGTGTGTTATTGGATTAAATGTTAGTACATGTTGTATACGCAATTACAGACTATAGTAATTGTTAGCACTCGTGGAAAAAGTTTAAAATTAATAATGGTCTTAATCACCTAACACTAACCTAACCTAACCTTAAAAAAATAGAACCACGACCCATTGACACTGATCTCCATTAAGACAGGGAACCAATTAAGAGTGAGTCCCGATTGACGTGTGATTAGGTTAGGTTAGGTAAGGTTGAAGCCTATAGGGACCTTGGTAGCCCGTTTGACAAGTCACCAACGACACTATGCAAATATGGTATTGAGGAAGGACCAGCACCTGTAGCCTCACCTGTTGCCTCGACTTACGTAAGGTGGAGTGTTACTGTGAGGGAGGGAGAAGGGGGGAGGGAGGGGGAGGAGAGAGAGAGGGAGGGGGCGAGGGGGAGGAGAGAGAGAGAGGGAGGGGGCGAGGGAGTGGAAGGGGAGAAGTGGGAAGACAATTGGTATCCAGTTCAAGTAATATCTGGACGTGTGATTTAAGTAGATTATTTTTGGACGTAATTTTGTGTCTTTTGGTTTAACGAGGAAGAATTAACAAGAGAAGCCATGACAAACACTGTACCCAGGGCCCTCCCATAGGTTTAATTGTTTTTATTTTTCGTCTGTGTTTGTAGATTTCGGAGTTATTGTTATTGTTGTTGTTGTTGGTGGTGTTGTTGTTGTTGTTGTTGTTGTTTTTTGGGTGGTGTTTTTTTATTTTGTTTTTGTTTTATGTTTTTAAGCAAGAGAATTTCCCAACATTTTAGGAGGGGTCGTAGCGGCGTTTTAATTTGTGTTGGTTCGTGCCTATTACTTCCCCCGGCTGGTTCATCATCACGGGAGTTAGACAGGTGGAATGGTCTTCTCCAGTCCACGTTTTGTTTATAAATTACCTTCATTACCTTCAACTGACGCCATTACCTTCAACTGACGCCATTACCTTCAACTGACGCCATTACCTTCAACTGACGCCATTACCTTCAATTGACGCCATTACCATCAACTGACGCCACACAATGTACGTATCTTCAATTCACTTTCATATGCCCTCTAAGATGTCTTTAAGTGATCCCCTACCACCAATATTTTCACTACCATTTTCACCATCATTCCTCACCATCACCACCATCTCCACCATCCCCCACCCCCACCACCACCACCATCAGACCTCCCTCAGAAACGGTATCTTGAGTAATGGCCAAAGAATTCATTGACCTGAGTCCACCAACGTGAAATTGATCGTCATTGTTTATATTCTGACCCCACATTGAGGTAAGCTTCTCCTCTGCCGACTGTCATCACATCTTCAAACTGACTTTAATCTGTTTTAATCGATTCTTAAGACGAATAAACGTATCTTACTTACTTGTATTCATAACGATGCCAATTTTATCCACTTCAGGACGATGTTAACCCTCTGAGTACGATGAATTAACACTGATGCAGATTTGGACTTCGTTCCTTGCCTAGTATAATCCCCAAATTAGTACGACCCGCTGAATAAGATGAAGACTAGACTAGTACTACCACCTAACGAACGACTCTAAGGTTAAGTGAGAAGGCAAGCTGGTACGACCATTGACCTAATATGAAGCACGGACACAAGACAAGAAGAAGAAGCGTCTCCCCCTTCCTTATGAGCCAATGACTAAGATTTGTGAGTTTATTACCTTGAAAACAACGACTGACGCTACATAAACGTATTAGTGATCTCATTAGTGCTGCCACCTGTCCCCTATTAGGTTATTAGTGTCATATAAATACCTGTATGTTCTTATATTACCATCTGAGGGATAATTATGGTCTTCGTATAGGTGATAATTTGGTTAGTGTTGGGTATTATTCTAACCTAACCTAACCAAACCAAACCAAAACAAACCCAACACTAACCAAACCTAACCTAACCTAACCACATTATTATCCCTCGTCTACCTCAACGACAGACACACTACACTGACCCTAATACCTCCACACTATTTGACATAAACTTTACCCAAACCACGACAAATGAAGCCCTCGTAACTTCGTGATAAAGATGGCCTTACTACTCCCACACCTTGAGGAACTCCACCAAACACGACAAAAACATCCAAACACCACGACAAACACGATAAAAACATCCCAACACCAAGACAAACACGACAAAAACATCCAAACATCACGACAAACTTGACAAAAACATCCCAACACCACGACAAACACGATAAAAACATCCCAACACCAAGACAAACACGACAAAAACATCCAAACATCACGACAAACTTGACAAAAACATCCCAACATCACGACAAACATGACAAAAACATCCCAACACCACGACAAACACGATAAAAACATCCAAACACCACGACAAACGCGACAAAAACATCCAAACACCACGACAAACAAGAATCCTAACCCTCCCGTCACCCGAGTACAAGCAACAGTGTTACACCAGACCAGAGTGTCACACCAGACCAGAGTGTCACACCAGACCAGAGTGTCACACCAGACCAGAGTGTCACACCAGACCAGAGTGACAAACAGACCAGAGTGTTACACCAGGCAGGAGTGTTACACCAGACCAGAGTGTCACACCAGACCAGAGTGTCACACCAAGACCAAGAGTGTCACAAGGCCAGAGTGTCACACCAGACCAGAGTGTCACACCAGACCAGAGTGTCACACCAGACCAGAGTGTCACACCAGACCAGAGTGTCACACCAGACCAGAGTGACAAACAGACAGGGCCACCAGACCAGAGTGTCACACCAGACCAGAGTGTCACACCAGACCAGAGTGTCACACCAGACCAGAGGTCGCCACGACCAGAGTGTCACACCAGACCAAAGTGTCACACCAGACCAGAGTGTCACACCAGACCAGAGTGTCACACCAGACCAGAGTGTCACACCAGACCAGAGGTCACACCAGACCAGAGGGTCACACCAGACCAGAGTGTCGCACCAGACCAGAGGACAAACAGACAATCATCCACACTGGTGCTCTGTCACAAGGAAAAACGTCCCAGGAGGTGATTGCATGCACTTGGAAACTTATAACATCTAATCTACAGGAACATGAGAGCATCAAAGTCTAAGCTTGAGCGAGGAAATAGTGAGACCTTAAGATTTATGCTGAGATATTGGCTTGGTGATAGTGGTGGTGGATAGTAGTGGTGGTGGTGGTGGTGGTGGTGATGGTGGTGGTAGAGTGGTGGTGGTGGTGGTGGTGGTGGTGGTGGTGTGATAGTGTGGTGGTGATGGTGTGGTGGTGGTGGTGGTGGTGTGGTGGTGGTGTGGTGGATGGTGGTGGTGTGGTGGGTGGTGGTGGTGAGTGGTGGTGGTGGTGGTGGTGGGTGGTGGTGGTGTGGGGAGTGGTGGTGGTGGGGGGTGTTGTGGTGGTGTGTGGGTGGGTGGGTGGGTGGTGGGTGATAGTGGTGGATAGTAGTGGTGGTGGTGGTGGTGGTGATGGTGGTGTGATAGTAGTGGTGGTGGTGGTGGTGGTGGTGGTGGTGGTGGTGGTGTGGTGATAGTGGTGGTGGTGGTGGTGGTGGTGGTGGTGATGGTGGTGTGAGTGGTGGTGGTGTGGTGGTGGTGGTGGTGGTGGTGGTGGTGATAGTAGTGGTGGGTGGTGGTGGTGATGGTGGTGGGTGATAGTAGTGGTGGTGGTGGTGGTGGTGGTGATGGTGGTGGTGATAGTAGTGGTGGTGTGGTGGGTGATAGTGGTGATAGTGGTGGTGGTGGGTGGTGGTGGTGATGGTGTGATAGTAGTGGTGGGTGGTGGGTGTGTGGTGGTGTGATAGTGGTGTGGTGGGTGGTGGTGTGTGGTGTGGTGGTGGTGATAGTGGTGGTGGTGGTGGTGGTGGTGGTGGTGGTGTGATAGTGGTGGTGGTGTGGTGGTGTGGGTGGTGTGATGGTGGTGGTGGTGGGTGTGTGTGTGGGTGGTGGTGGTGAGTGGTGGTGGTGGTGGTGGGTGGGGGTGGTGGTGTGGTGGTGTGGTGGTGGTGGTGTGGTGTGTGGTGGTGGTGGTGGTGGATGGTGGGTGATATGGTGGTGGTGGTGGGTGGTGGTGGTGGTGGTGGTGGTGGTGTGATGGTGTGATAGTAGTGGGTGGTGGTGGTGTGGTGGTGGTGATGGTGGTGGTGGTGATAGTGGTGGGTGGTGGTGGTGGGTTGGTGGTGGTGGTGGTGGTGAGTAGGTGGGTGGTGGGGTGGTGTGTGATGGTGGTGGTGGTGTGTGTGTGGTGG